AGCCCCCTTCCTTCACAGTGGGTTCCTTTCTGCAAGATGGGTGCAGCCATTTAGAGCCCCAGCTTTCTTCAGGGCTCTGTCAAACTCTTCCTCCTAGGCTCTATCTTCTTTGTTAGTGGTCCACAGACATGGTGTATCTTGGGGGCCCGGGATTTAGCTCAGTGGTTCCGCTGCCTGCCTCAAAAGTGCAAGCTCCTGAGTTCAATCTCCCATACCAGGACAAAAAAAAAAAAGAAATGGTGCATCTTATACCTGGTGGCTTCCATATCCTGAAATATGATAAACAAATACTTGTAACCTCTAACAAATTTATCTAATCTCCTAGAAAGTTTCTTCTTTGTAATTATCTGACCTGGGGAGATAAGACCCAGTGTGAGTTGGATCTGGGGAATTTCCCCAGGCTTACTGTCACTTTCCTAAATGAAAGGTAAAATGAGTCACCTGGAAGGTGTCCAAGTTTAGATATTGAGTGTGTTTGGTTTGAAACACTACATTATATTGAGCATATAAATAAGAAATGATGTATTATAAAATATTTAATTACTAAAATCACTTTGTCTTCTCAAGCAAGATAAAATAGTTGTGCTAAAGATTAGGTCCCATTCCTCTAGGGGAACATCAGAGGTCCAATTACCCACTTCTTTGGTTTTGAAAACAGCTCCAACAGCATCTAAATAGGAGCGTACTCATCCTCCCCCTCATGCATCCAGCTGAAGTTCTGTGGACCAGAGCTGGGGAGACCCAGGGGAGGCACAAGAAGCTCCACCACAACTGCCAGGCAAGACTGACTTTTCTCCAGCAAGGGCAAACTGAAGGTAAGGACGGACAGTATTCTTAGGCCTGTCGACTTCTAAACTGCCCCTTTATAATGATCCTTGTGAAATAATTATTTCTATCGGTGGTCATCTGGTATAGAGGATTTGAGATAGTGGGTTCATTAAAGAGAATCGGAATCACAAACTCATTTAAGTCTCCTTGAACCAGTTTAATCAAAATGATTTTCTGCTATTCTCCATTACAAGCTGAGTTTCCGTGGCGACAGATTAATGACTGATCCACTAAGACATACCACCTCTCTTGCCACCAATCCTACCAACTGAGCCAGCCCCATTTCTATCGATAAGTCCCATATGCCCTTGAAACTCATTATCGCTGAGATGCTAAGACCAAATGAGCAACACTCACAGCCAACCCGGTTCTGCTACAGAGACCACCAAATTCCAGAGTCTGCACCAGAGGGAGAAAGAACAAGCGCTGGTCCTAGTGCTCTCATCAGAATTACAAACCCAGGTCACTCAGGAGGAAGATAAATGCCAGCCAAGGCAACACTTCTGATTCTTGGGGCCTGCTGAAGGTAATTATCCTGGCGGTAAATGTCAGGGCTAGTTTCATGTGTGCAAAAGAAAGAAAATGTCATGTTTAGTGTAAGCAACAATATTATTTTAATCAAATCAGAAGCTCATTATTAAGAGGAGATAAGGCCGTGACAAGACCTCCTGAAAAGCTGTGTTCCCTGGGCTTTCTGCTCTTTGTCTCAGCCTAGGGTTCTCCACTGATTACCCTGGGCATTAAGCAGGGAAGACTAGCACAGAGATTTTATGCAGACTCACACACGAAATCCATTCAGCCCTCAGTTGGTTGCTGTGCTCGGACTCTTCCACCTCCCAGCTCTGGCCTTCCACAACCTGATTCTGGAGAAGAGAGTGAAGCCTCCCAGTAGGGAGGGAATGAGAACACCAGCACTTCTTTCAGAGGACCGTTAGGATGATCACATGAAATAATATATGGAAAATATCTTAATCTGTGACACACTAAGTGCCCCATAAGTGTTAGCTGTTATCTATTTCTCTGATGCTTTACTCTTTTAATTACAAGCAATATATATTCACTTTATAAATAAACATACTTTTTTAAAAAAGAGAAGACAGAATAAAGAAATATGTGACAGTATAAGTAAATTGCAGGTAGGAGGTACAGGACCAAAGAGATTACACAGATTAGTTCTATTCACCTTTATAGTCCAGTGCCTAACACATGGTGGGCAGTAAAATAATTGCGGGAATAAATGAACATAAGAATGAACAGAGTAAATTCCCCTTCCAATAATGTCATCAAAGGCCTTCTGGTACATCCCTATAATCCTAGCACTTGGGAGGCTGAGGCAAGAAGACCACCACTGAGTACAAGGCCAGCCTGGGCTACATAGTGAGACCCTATCTCAAAAAACAAACAACCAAAAACCCATATCATATCTGTGCATCCTGACCTGACCTCAAACCATGGAGAAGTACATGACAGCTGAAGGTGAGAAATGATTACAAACTTAATACAAATATCACACACACCAACTTCTGTATCTCCACCTTCTTGATATTGTATTTGTGCAAAAGTGCAGAACATTGGAATTGCTAGACCTTATAAAAGAGTGATGACCAAAAAGCAGATCACAAATGCATTCAGGACCAATCATTTGAGTGTTGCAGCCGTTCTCTAGGATCCACAACTATAGGCAACAAACCATGAAGCAGGTCTGAAGGTTTCACAGGAGACAGATTCTACAGGTTGTACAGCAAGCAGTGAGTCTGTGCACCTAGAGTAATAAGACCCATTTCAAAGTAGCAAACAGAGGCTGGTAGGTCACCCAGGCAGTGTCCTATACACTGCAGAGCCAGGAGGCAACACACAACAGCTCAACATCACATCCATTTCAAAGCTGGCCAGTGACACCACCAATGGGTGCGATCCCCTCCCTACAAAGAGCTCTTAACTTTCAGGGTCCAAACTTCAAAAATCATTTCTAAATCTGTCTCCCACGTCCAACAAAGTAACAAGTTTGGGGTGGGGGGTGTTGCAAGAAGTTTTCTTTCACACTATATTTGAAAAACTGACAAGAATCGTAAGAGGAATCTCAGGACACAGCCCTTCAAAGTCATCAGAAGCTTTAAACAAAACAAAACAAAAACCCAGACAATAGCAAAGAAGCTGGGCTTTGTCACACTCCAGGGAAGTCAGCCTCAATGGACATGATCGGGCCGGCTAAACAACTGCAGCCTTGCTGGGGCTTTGTCTATTGTCCGCTGAGTAGTCTGTCTCTAAAGAAAGCAATCTTTTATTCCCTGGTCCCAGTGGACTTGAGCTTTGTGGTTATTCCAAGCAAATGGCCCAACTGAAAACATGGGGACTTGCCCTTAATGTGTCTAAGTCTGAGTTTCACAACATTTTGAAGAGGTTAATAGCATTGAACATCTGAGATACTCTGGCATCAGAAGACTCCATGAAGCATATAAAAATGGTTGATGAATGAAAAGGTTTGGGATATTTTTGAACATGTTCTGATGATAAGCTGGACCAAATTATCGTTTTTACAAACTATATGCTGCTAAAAGTCTTAGTTTAATACCTAAAACTTTCAGAAACAAAAAGCAATAAATTGCCAAGTATGCTTATTTAAAATGTGGATTCCACCCAGCATATACCCCAGAAATATGGAATCAGAATCTCTAGGGAAAGAGTGTGGATGCTATAATTTAGCAAGCACCCCAGGTAGGTTTCATCATCTGTTAGGTTTGAAAAAAACATTGAACCAAGGATAAAAATGTCAGCGTCACTCCTAAGACAAGAAATGAAGAGAAGCCCAATTTTTAAAAATTTAAAGCTAAGTGGGAATTAAGACTATCATACTTAAGATGCACCGAGCATACAAACCTTCAGATATAAAAGTAGAACAGACCTTTCAACAACCCAAAGCCCAGCATCATGAGTGCTTTCAGTCCCATCTGCTGCCTTGAGAACCAGGGCACCTGGGAAGCTGGATCCTCACCTCTTCCAAACCTAGCCCAACCTGCCCATCTCTAGCAGAGTTTAGCATCTGCTCTTCCCTCAACTCTATCAAAACTGCAATAATAAAATAGCACGATTGCTTCCACCCTAGGTGAATAAAAGCCTCATGGGTTGGGCATCAATTTCAGCCACAGGCAAAGGGAGACTGGGAATGGGATGATGAGGGACCCAGTGGAGATCAGTGGATGTTCCCACTCACCCCCCACCCCATGTCCTATGACAAAAACAAAGGACTTTGTGTCGTGGATCAAGGTGTCATTTTTTTTAAGTATGTGCTGCCAGAATGTTAGTGTAACACTGAAAACTGCTCCAAAACACAAAACAGCAACGCATGTGAGCACGAAAGCTTTTCTCTTGGCACCAGAGGGACAGGGGTACCTAACATAAACTACAATAAAATATCACACCTCCAGGTCCCCGGGGAGGTATGGCCCCAGCAGCCTGGGACACTCTGTGAAGGGGCTGGCAGCAGCTCCTGTGGCACATGGGGAGGCCATCTGCTGAGAAGCTGGCACCAGGTGCCTCTTGCCCCCACATCTTCTTGGGCAGAAACAGGCAGCACAGGTGTCCAGAAGCAAGTTTCTCCCCTCCCAGGGTTCTTCAGGGCAGGGGACACACTCCAATGGCCACCTGTTCCCTTTCCCTTCCCTAAAGACTCCCAGGATCAAAATGCCAGATTCTCTCTGAGGTTCTATCAGACCCACTGCCTGCACACACACACCCCTCAAACCCCGAAACACCTGGCTCCCCAGTGAATGAGCTGGGCCCCCCAAACCTAACCTCTCCCACAGGGATGCTTCTGACCCCAGAGAAGGTCCAAATCACTGCTGCCAAATGGAGCTTCTCCCTGGGCTTCGGCAAAGCCCATCACTGCGATCAGGAGACTCAGAAGCTTGGGTGCTTCGGTTCCTATCGCTGTTCGCGGCTCCTTAGCTTTTAGTAGCTCGCGCTACGCCTCTTCCTCCTCCTGCAAATAAGGTAAACCTGGACCACTGGTAACAGACAAAAGCATCAAGCCCTCGAAGTTCTCTTTAAACTTCCTCTGGGCAAGACACCCCGGCTCGGGCAGGTCTGCCCCTGTCGCCTCCAGCCTCGCAGGCCCCTCCTGGAGCCCCCCACCCCCATCCCTGACCCCGCAGCGCCGAGGCCGCGATACTCACGTCTCGGAAGCGGTTCCAGTACTTGTCCCTGTCGTACTGGGAGACGGTGCTCAGCCACTGGTCATTGTCTAGGAAATTGCCGTTGTTGAGGCCCGCGCCTCGAGCGAACGCGTCCAGGTGCCGGCTCTCGACTTGCAGGAAGCAGCACGCCGCGGCGGCCGCGGCCAGCACGGCGATGGCTGGCATCTG